AAACAAGAAAAAAAACATTTTAGCGACAAAAAAAGTAGCTTCAGCGATGAAATCTCTTAGTAAACAAATTTTATTTCACTTCAAACTGGCTGCAATAAAAAATAGAAATAAAAAAAAACAACATTTTTTCTCTCTCTTCTTCTTCTTCATCCTCTTCCTCATCTTCTTCATCATCATCTCGCCATGCTTCATAATTCCACCAAAAGAGCCTTTAGTTTTGTGCTCTGAATATCCTCTTTCGGATTTTCACGCACCGCTTCTTGGGGCTCATCACTTGAGCTCCCAAAAATCACTCTCTTAGCTTCAACAAAACTAGAGTCGTCATCTCCGCGTTTGCGTTTACTCGGTCGCTCCGAGGCCTCTGGCTATTTTTGCGTTTCTTTAGCATAAAAAGTTACCAGTATTGATAACTTTTCATTTTCTGCCCGCAAAAACTCGAGCTGGCATCGGTGCTCCTCTTCCCTTTTTGCCTTATCATTCTTCAATCTTCTGTTGTCGTGCTGATATTCATCAACCAATTTTTGCTATGCCGTCAACTGAGCTTTTAGAAATTGCACCTCATGAGTTTTCACAATGAGGCGATGCCCCACACTTACGATACATGCAACACTCTGCACGCCCATTGCCACGACATCGCTCACTAAGCGATTGTCATCTCTCATTCCCAGTATGCGCAGATCTCTGGGAGTCACCAGACTCCTCGCAACTCCAATGGCAACATCGTTGTCAAGGAGTAACGAGTCATTGACGGTCACGGGTCCTCGTGAGGACGCAAAATAGGGCGCCCAGACTCACTTGCACCCTTCTCTGTGTTGGGGGAGGAATAAGACATTTTCTTTCTGCTTTCCTTTCTTTTTCTCTCTTTTCTCTTTCTTCTTTCCTCTCTCTCTTTCCTTCGCTTTTAGTTTAGAGAAACACTAGCAATTACAGCTTCAACCGTCCCCAAACCCTTTGTCGCAACGTGCACGGACGTGTTCAAGAAGTCGTCTCTACTTTCCATGACATCGTAATTGTCTGTGCCATGGGAGAAGAGTAAAAGACAAAGTAATACTAAACAAATGAAAAAGTAAAAGACAAAGAGACATGTCGGCTGGCATATAATGGGCTAATATTTTTGGAAGTGAAAATAACTGTGAAAAATTTACACTCAGTTTAATAGAAGATTCCGGGCATCTGCACCCATTGGACATGGCCCCAAACACATCCGAGAGCTTAGGTAATTTTCTTTCTAAGTGTTGTGTCTTTGTTGAATTTAGATATTTGCTCATTTTCTTATTAAGTTACTTTTAATTTGAGCCATGCATTACAAATTCAATATAGTTGTTATTGGCATTCAAAAAATAATAATAATAAATTCTCTTATACTTTTTTAACCCATGCTTTCAATTTTTTCGACAACTTTTTCCGATGCAAGTTATATGCCATAGCAAATAATAACTATTTCTGACAGCGGTTAATTGCAATCGGAAATGAAAATTTACTTCCGACAACAAAAATTATTTGTCGGAAATCGACAACTATTTTCGGGAAGCAAAACATGTCATTGGTAAAATGCAATTATTTCTGACCGCACATAATTGCCCTCAGAAATAAGTGACTATTTCCGAGGGTATTTGAGTAACAAGTTATCATTTTGGAACGTGTGGTGGATCTGGGGATGTATTAAACATGTCATATGATTGCACTTTTGCAGAAAATGCTCTATCTATGAACATTTGAATTTGTAGTGAATGTAAGTTTGACTCTTCTACTTATGTGAAAGGTTGCTCTACTATTTCATGTGCATTTGTATGCCTTAATTTTAAGAAGTCTTGTATGCAGATTGAGGTCAATGAATCTGGAATTACAAGATTGCAAATAACCAAAGTCTTCAAATTCCATAAGCCTTTTGCATAACTAATAACATTACAAGATTGCATAACTAATTTCGGGAATTACATTAGCTCCAAAATGGTTTTCACTGCCCTTACTCCCATACATTTTCCAGACATGCTCGACACCATCATCATCATCATCACAATGACCATAAATAAAACACAAGCGCCCATACTCATCCTACATTCTCTTTGTTGATGCCTCATCATATTGTCTTCCAGCAAAAATCTAAGCCTTCTGTTGTCTCTGATTGCATAATCCAACTCCTTATTTTCTTCAATTATGCCCTCCATTTCCAAGTTTCGAGCTTCTAAGGATTGAAGTGTGTTGACCACAACATTTTTTCTCTCTTCTGTCTCCCTCATTTCAGTCCCCATCATTCTTATTCTTCTAAGTAGATCAGGCACCACATTCTTCCCTCTTGTACATGTCTCCTTGTCCAACCACCTAAAATAATGCTCTCCAACTCTGTTTTTCTGCTTCATTATTATCAAATTCTTCATTAGTACAAAATCTAAACATAATACCATTTTTGTGCATAAACCCAAAAATCAAAAATTGTTTACTTGGTTGTTGTCACAAGCCTCAAAGCGTCTTCCTGGATTCATGTCTGTCCATGAAGTCCTCGATTTGATCAAACTCCCACAATGACAATACTTCACCGATTTGGGGCTTTGGTTAGATTCCATTGATGATGTTTGAGACATATCACTTGCCATCCTTCGAACTAATCTGCTCTCCAAGCTTCCAAACTTGACGATTCCAACTTTTACTCAACCAATATGAGAGGGAAGGCGAGTTGCAGAAGCGGATTGCAATTTTTGGTTCTTTAGGTTTTTGGCGGCAGGCTCTGCAAGGTCTATTTCAGAGGGAAGGCAAGTTGCAGAAGGGGGATAATAAAACCAACCTAAAAAGATCCATCTACCCCTAAATTTAACAAAAAAATTTACAGAAGTAACGGTGGGACTAGTTGTTCAAACGAAACTAAAGTTAAAGGACCCCGAGTACCATTTTGGAAATTGAGGTACTCAAATGCAAATCGGGTCAAAGTTGAGAGACTAATAAAACGATTAACTTGACTAAAAATTGTATTTATAGGAGCCAAGTGCTGAAGCCGCATATTTCCTAAGAAAATGACTAAAATGGAACAAACCCAAAAGTTCAAGGTGCAAGTCCACAAGAGCATTAGAGAATAAATATATGAATATTGAGGGGTCCAAATAGAATTACCATTTTTCTAAAAAAAATAACAAATACTGATTCTGCAAAGTTGCAAGGGCGTTGCATAATTTTTAATTTTTAATTCTTCCATCTGTCTTCATCTCGTCGCCTTTGGGCTCCCCATTGAAGAAAAGGAAAACCAGCCTCGAAATTCCATTGAAAGCCTCCGAAGCTTGGGAGTTTCCCCTTCATCCTCCTTTTCTCAGTCTACGAGCTAATCTCTTAAACTCCAATTTTCAAGCTAGAAATTTCTTGCTAATTCTTTACGCCATGGGAAGCTTCATGTCGGAGTCTCAATTTATTGAGTTGAAATGTGATTTTGCGTATTGAAACTCATTCTGTATATCATGCCAGTGAGGAGGAAGGGTTTCTCTTAATAATTTTGAATTTTTAGTTAGCCTCACCTGCAGATTTTCCTTTCCTTTTTGTATGTTTTGTTGTTTATTAGAATTATATAACCGTGTAATTCAAGAACTTGTGCCAAACTCCTTATATGGATTGGAAATTTGGGGTTTGGGTCAGTGGAAATTATACAGTGAGAGTTACTTTTGAACTGAAATTTATCGTATGAAGTCATTTGATTGTTTGATTTGATTATTAGAAGTTAAGGGCCCGTTCGGTAACGTTTTCTTAGAATATTTTCATAGAATGAAAACAAGAAAACAAATTTGCATTTTCAGGAAATGAAAATGCGTCTGGTAGATTAATTAGAAAACATCTTCAGAAAACAAAAACAATGAAAACGTGTCTGGTAGTACAGTTTGAAATAATAATATGTGAGTTATTTTTATGAAAACTTTTCCCATGAGAATGAAAACAACTTTTTGCTGTTTTCCACAAGCACACATGAACTTGTTTTCATTTTATGAAAATATTCTCAGTGTTTTCTGTTTTTGGGCCACCGAACTTGTTTTTCCCTCATTTTTGTTCTCTGAAAATAAAAATAGCCCCTTAAAATGTTACCGAATGGGCTCTTAGCATTCTTGTGGGTAGAGAAATTAATGCATCCACTAGGAGGTGTTGATGAGATTTAAGTTAGAGGGTGGTGCTTTGAGAAGGGCAAACCCACCAAATATTAGCCACGACAAGGTTTTCGATTGTAACATGAAGGCTTGTAAATAAACCAAATATGTTATTACAAGATTAAAGAGTAAAATAGAATGTGTATGGATGGATTTCCCTACACTATTCAGTGAACATGTTACTAAAGTTGATGGGTCAGTCATGAATTTTGGTAAACTACCATGTTTTCATTTTAATATTGTCTATTATGTGCTAACACGTGCATCAAGAAATTACTAATATTTGAGCACTCACTAGATTTTATTTTATTTAGAAGTGTTCTTGTGTTTAGCTTTGAATGTGATGATATGTTTTTCCTGTTTCAGACCTTGTTAGAATCTTTGACTAGCTTAAGCTGGTTCTGGGGTTGCAGGGTGTGTTTCTATGTTTAAATAGTGTTTGGGTTTTTTTATAAATACATGTCTAGGATTGGGTTTATTTATAAATTTGTATATGTTTTTCTTGTTTCAGACCTTGTTAGAATCTTTGATTAGCTTAAGCTGGTTCTGGGGTTGCAACATTGTGAAAGACTACTTGATCACTTAATCAAATATCAATTGACTTTTGAAGACTGTTTTTGAGCTGTGTTATGATTTGACGTGGTAATTTCAAGTTGATGCATTA